GGGGCAGGGCCTAGTGGGAGGAAGTGAGGTCACAGGGGGCAGGGCCTAGTGGGAGGAAGTGAGGTCACAGGGGGCAGGGCCTAGTGGGAGGAAGTAAGGTTACTGGGGTTGTGGCCTCAAAGGGAGTATTAAAATCCTGGCTCCTTCTGGTCTCTCTCTGCTTCCCGGCCATTATGAGGTGGCTCTGCTCCATCCCAGGCCCAACGCGATGGGACAACAGAACATGGAGTAAAACTCCTGAAACCATGAGTCAAATCTTTCTTCCCTGGAAGTTAACTGACTTAGGTATTTTGTGACAGTGACAAAAAGCAAACGAGCACATCAGCCTTCAAGATGAAAGAAAATACATGACTGTATTAAGTCAGTGGCTGGAGAAAAATGAAGACGGGAATTTTTTTCCCCATCTAATTTCATGGGATCATACTGCCCCACCCTCATCTGCAGATCCAATCCTCTTGGGGGCAAAAGGTTTTAGGTTAAGACCACATGTATCTGGAGATGAAATCAAGCTAGTGGCTCATAAAATTCATTTAAAAGAAAAAGAAACAGATCTGAGTAGGAGAGACGGTCTTCAGGTCTAAGGTTTGATGCTGGTCTCCTGAGCATTTCATGCCGGCTAACTGCACACCTGTCCGTACACGGGGCTCTGTGAAAGATGTGTCTGTTCTGTGGCTGAGGCTAAGACACCACAAACATCATGCGCTTGTTAGCTCCTCTGATGGCAGCTTCCTTATCTCTAAATGAGATAAATGCTAACTGCTTTTCCTAGGGGATCCTTTTGAGAGTAACCGAGTCCCTACAGTTCTGGGCACAGTGACACGGAAAGCACTGGTTTCGCTGGAATTACCTGGTACGCACAGGGACGCTGGAGGAGGTTTGTGGCTATCAGCAAGGAGCCTGAGCCACCGTGGGGGGGCGGCAGTCCTGGAACCAAGTGGGGAGACCACTGCCCAGCCCCTAGGACCCCCAGCCCGCAGCTGTACCCCATGGCCATACTCACCAGAATCCCAAAGGCCATAACTTTGAGCACACATTCCAGAGAGAAAAGGGAGGTGAAGACGATGTTAAATACTCTGAGAGCGTTTTCATAAGCAACCGAGGCTCCATAGAACTAGAGGCAGAGGGAGAGAGGGTAGCAGGGTCAGCCTGGAAAGCCAGCTTCTGGAGGGTCCTTCCTAGGGGCAGGACTTGGACACCAGGAAAAGACCGAGCAGTGACTCAACAAATCCAAGATCTTCCCAAGTCTGGGAGCATCTTTTCATATTTAAAATAAAAGAAAAAAAAGTTTTTTAAGACAGAATCTTGATATATATATAGTCCAGGCTGGCCTTGAACTTGCTAAGGAACCCAGGTTGGCTCGATTCACAATGATTCTCCGACTGCAGCCTCCCGAGTGCTGGGATAACAGGTTTGCTGCACCATGCTTGGCCAGTAGCTTTCTTTTGGTCCCTATGTGAGCATCCTGAGTCCCAGGACAGCTCAGTGAAACCTGATGGGATAGAGGCTGAAGGCAAGCATCTGGCCTGTGCCTGCTTTCTTTGACTTTTCCTTTCCTTCTTTTCTTTTTAACAATTACATGAAGCTGTCAGCCTCAGGTTGCTGGAGTTCGAACCTCACAACTCTCCCGCTGGCCACAAGTGCCCTGAAGGCATTTGAGGAAGAAAAACAAAACAAAACAAAAAAAACAAAAAAACCTTAGGGGCCGGGGAGATGGCTCAGTGGAATAAGCGCTTCCCTCCCTAGCAAGC